GAATTTCTGATTGGGATCCGCGAGATGAGAGTAACTAATGGTTACAGACTTTCAATGACATTGCTGAAAATCGTCTAATTTATTTAGCTGTGATATGGTTGTCGGATCATATCTTCAATCCATAAATTTTCCCATTACTGCTCACACGGTTGTTACCTCTACTACTATGGGATTCGTACTAATAACTCCATCTCGATAGGCTAATGGGGTATGGCAACTTAAATTGGTGTACACACGTACAGAGTTCTGTGTTGTTTTAACTAAGTGACTAACTGATTTTGAGATGATAAAGTTTGCTAATCGAATTCATGCACCTTATATCATAGGTTTTCTGGTCTTTAAAACACGTTGATAGCACTATACCTGCGGAACCGACACCCTCCTGTTGATGATATTAATTAACATGAAATATCTCATTGAGGTGAAAATTCTTTTGCTGGTTCACCTGCATCACAAATTGTCACCTCAATGACATATCCGTCACAAATGAAATGTAAATTGGACTTGTATATGTAATAATAGATTCTATTAAGTTTCATGCTTAGATGATTCATATAATTATTATTCACCTATATCATTCGTAAATGCTTTGTGCGATAATAAATTGGAAGACATGTTATACCGCTGTCACTGTTGTTTAGAACTGTTATTCTGTGCTTCTTCCTAAACCGAAACAGATCAATTCCCTAGTAGGAGAACTATGGTGAAAAAAGTTTGGCTTAAAAGTCTAACTTATTCTGCCGTTGTTTGACGTCAGGGGAACGGTCATCCTGAGAAATGATGGTCACAAACAGGTTTGTGAAGTATTTCGTTTCTTTAGGATCCTATAGTTCATACAGTTCAGTAGTTTGCAGTTAAGCTTTTCCAACATCCAACGTTAATCAAACTTTTATCTACCAGTTTAATAGATAGCATATTCTCGCTGCCTCATTGTACTAAACATTTGCGAACAAAACAAATCAGTCACTCAGTAAGTCAGCTACAAGGTAAAACTTCGTTCGTATGTACATCAGTTCAAGTCACCATACAAAATTTGCACATGGACGCAATTGTCAATTCAAATCCCATAGTAGTAGAAGTAATAAAAGTATTAGCAGTATTCTGAGAGATTAGGGTTTGAAGATATTATGCATGGAGTATAATCCAGTGAAATTAATTAAAGAAGTAAACAATAAAAGTGAAGAGGTACTCAGATAAGAATTTGTGATACACACACCTGAGCCATTGCAAACCATTTTTAACCATGTCATTCTAGGTCTCTAATCCTCGATTGCGATCATTTCGCGGACCCTAACCAGATAGTAAACATTTAGTATCATGACTCAGTCCACTTGTCAGTGACATCATGCATCTGTGTCATGATTTGATCTGGCCATCCCTAGCTTTCTTCCAACCTTTTTCTTAACAACGCACATCACTAGTGCAAAACAAAATCAGGTCTGTTCAAACTAGAGTTATACTTTTTTTCGGTAAGAGCATACTAACCACAATAAAACAGTCGGTAAAATATTCCTCATAAAATCGTCAAAAGCGCGTAACCTTTTTTAGAGGAACCATTTCAAGATATATAAAAGCATATCACTTATCTACTGCGTATTGTTTATAATTAATCTGAATTTGCGTGAAAGTCATATAACAAATATCAAGTATTCACACTCAATAACAAATGCAAGAGAAGACGACCAGTGTAGCAGCAGCCTCAGTGGAAGCAGTAGGTCTCAACATGCATAAACGATAAATCAAAGTTCTCCGATGCAACACAACATGCATTAACTATATCACTCTTGATGGAGATGCTTTTGAGGACGTTAACAACTTTACATATCTGGGCAGCATCATCGACAACCATGGTGGATCCGATGCAGATGTGAGGGCACGTATTGGCAAAGCAAGGGCTGCATTTCTACAGTTGAAAAATATCTGGAACTCCAAACAACTTTCAATCAAAACCAAAATCAGGATTTTCAATACAAATGTCAAGACAGTTCTACTGTATGGAGCGGAAACATGGAGAACTACCAAAGCCATCATCCAGAAGATACAAGTGTTTATGAACAGTTGTCTACGCTAAATACTTCGTATTCGTTGGCCAGACACCATCAGCAACAACGAACTGTGGGAGAGAACAAGTCAGATTCCAGTGGAGGAGGAACTCAGGAAGAAGCCGTGGAAGTGGATAGGACATACACTACGAAAAGCACGCAACTGCGTCATGAGACAAGCCCTCACATGGAACCCTCAAGGCCAAAGGAAAAGAGGAAGGCCAAAAAACACACTACGCCGAGAAATAGAGAAAGATATGAGAGGAATGAACAAACATTGGACAGAACGGGAGAGGGAAGCCCAGGACAGAGTTGGTTGGAGAAAACTGGTGAGCGGCGTATGCTCCATTGGGGGTAACAGGCGAAAGTAAGTAAGTACGTCATAGATTCCACTGCTAATTAGAATCTAAATGAACAAATCTCAGCAGAGACTAATCAGTTGCAGTCCTGATTATCAACAAACGATAATCACAGACCCTTACTGTCTCACCGAATCATACTTCTTGAATAATATCTTTTCATCCTAACCTCTCCGATTACTTCTAATACCTTTACTATCTCTACTACTATGGGATTCGAAGTGACAATGACACCTCTGCGACAATGTTGTATGGCACTTTGAACTGATGTAAATACGTACAAAGTTCTAGATTGCTGTTGATTGATTGATTGCTATCGTCTTAGTTATATTTTTTCTCTCTTCTCATTCATTTTTTCTCATGTTTAAGTCTAATAATGGAAGACGAACAAAATACAAATTCATCATCATCATCATCATCATCATCATCATCATCATCATCATCGTCAACAACAACAAAATCAATTGTGGTACAAAATGAATTCATTGGTGATAATACTACAAATATTGCATGTTCAATTGATCATTCATCTTTCAAACAATCTCAGTCTATTTTTTCAAAACAAAAAAGTTACATTTCATTGTTTGTTGTTTGATTTTTTGATTGTTTAGATTTAGCCTCAGTGTTTGCAGTTTATAATAAACCTGATCAAAATCTATTGAAAACTAAGACTGCTGATTCTTGTTGGTTCTTTTATGTGCTGTTATGCGTATGAGGAAGGATGTTACTTCCTGGCTGCTCGCACCATGGAACAATGCTTCTTGAGGAATATGAAAAGGGAATTGAATCAGTGTTGGTCTTACCGACTTGAGAGCGTGATACCAGAACATTATGGACAACTGCTCGAGGCCAGTCGGACACGGCGGACTATTTAATAGAAGTTTTTAGCGTGTTAGATCCGCTCTTCAAAAGGCCTCACTGGCCGGAAACAGAAATCTGTGGGGTAAGGTGAGGTGTGACATTTTTAGAATCGTACTTTCTAACCCCTTCCTTTCTTGTGAGAGTGCAACGTTGCTGCAGATGTTAATTGTCCGAGGGAAACACCTCACTGCTGTAACATCTCTGCACATTCAACAGTACTACTTCGTCCTCAGCCGAACCACCGACTGCCCAGACGTACTATGTTTTGTGATTTGAATGTAGGCTGGAGGATAACAAGGGGCGATCAGATCGAAACATGGCATGCATAAAAAGTCCCTGACAACTGGACTGAGCCATGTCAATAGGATTAGACTACCATGTTGGAGTCCGCGAGACTGTAGTAGCCGTTGGTTAGAGACTGAATGACATGGCTCAAAATCGTTCGTAATGGCGCACATGCCATCGATTGTCTGTCTTCTCTCACATTCTCATCTTATGAATTCTTGAAGACCATTTTTCTCTATTTTAAAATTTATCGCACTTTATCCTACTTCTTGAATGATATCTTCGAACCCTAATCTTCGTTACCGCTAATATCTCTACTACATCTACTACTATATTGTTTGAATTTACAGTTTAATCTCTATGTGCTAATGTGATACGGCAGCTTGAAATTATGTACGTACATACGAAGTTCTACATTGTAGCTGAATAACTATTCTTTAATCAGTGAACAAGCAGTCGCTCCATCTGTTTTGATTTAGATAGCCGAATAGTATCATCAGCCCTCCTACTGTGTATATATCTCCAAGTTAGACTGTATAGCAGCAGCCTCTATATTGGTGGACCTGAACATTTTCAAGGTGAAATTAAGATCTTGAAAAAAAGCAGTGAGCAGTAACCGAATCACACTAGATGGCGAAGCTCTGGAAGTGGTAAAGACTTCTACTGACTTGGCCAGTGTCAATGATAAGAAAGGGGAATCCGATGAAGATATGATTACCAGAATTAGCAAAACAAGGAGAGCATTTCTACAATTTGAGAACTGGAAATCGGAACAACTTTTGACCAGCACCAAAGTTGGGACAATTTAACTTTATGGAGCTGAAACCTGGAAACCTACTATATCCATGTTCAAAAGTGTACAAGTATTTCTAGGCGAGTGTCTACACAACATACTCCATATGCATAATCCAGAGACTAATAGCAACAACCTATTCTAATACGACAAACTATATTTCAGCTGAAAATGAAATTGGAAAATGACGTTGGAAGTAGACATGTAACTTCACGGAAATTATCAGATTGCATTACAAAACAAGCTTTAATTTTGAATTGTTTCAGAAATTCTAATGAAAAATCAAGAAAATGAACTGTACCTGGCAAGAACTAGAAAGAAGTACCCTAGAACATTGTTGCTTGGAGGTCCTTGGTTGGCAGCCTATACCCCCACACTAGGGAAAAGTAACAGGTGTAATAGACTGTTATCTAAAGGCAATTTTGTAGAAATATACTGTAAATTACCTCATGAGAAAAATAATGTGAGTTGACTGAAAAAAATCTGCTGAAAGTCCACAATTTATGGATTTTTAACAACTTGCCAATGTATAATTTCGATGATGATAATTGAACTTTTACAATTACAATTACAATATAAAAAAAAATTTGCGATAACTTTCTTCTAGTTTACTTTTGTTGACTATTAAAAATGTATTTCTGTACACTTTGTTAACTTTAGTGCTGAATTGAACACATGTTTTCCTCAATTGTTGAATTGTATTATCCTAACATCAGAAGCTTGTTTCAATCAAGCTGATGAATCAATTAATTTTACAATGACTACAAATGATCAATCTAAATCTTCTAATTCTTATAATGGCATAGAGAATTTAATTAAGAATCGTACTGTTGTAACTCTGAAACCATTGATTAGTTTTCTTCGTCTCTGGCGACAAATGATATCTCAAAAACATTGGCCTGGTGGACATTGTAGTGATCGATGATGGGACTTTGGTGATCAACAATTGAACTCAACTGTATCAACAGGTAAGGTACTCTATTTATTACAGTAAACCATAGTAAAAGTGTCTTTTTTCTGTACAAATATATTCATAGTCACATATATTTAACTGGTATTTTATGACTCATTATCGTGTACGTATTAGTGACCAACTAATCAGAGAAGTAAGTCCTGTAAGTATGTAGTCAGTGAAGTTCAACCGTAACCGGGTCGTGAGAAAAATGTTACCAGTAGCAGTTGATGATAGACTGAATTACGAATTGACTAACATCAGAGATATAAACCAATCAATAATCTAAAGATCCCAAACTCGATAAGTAGTTGTGTAGTAGGCGTACATTCCTGAAGAATCTCATACTAGGATGAAATATCTGTCGAGCGCCGGTGTGTTTTCAATAGTTGTCTAACTGATATCACTTTTCGGTGGAAAAAAACGACCATATCATTCTAGTTGATTTATAATTTCTCACTTGTTACATTTCATCAGTATAGCCTTCAACAAACATCAGGATTATTATTTTGTTTTCATCTTGAAGAAAAAGTTAGTTCATTTAGAATTTTCACGTTGGGTAATATGGTTCAGAAATAATCACGGTGGCCTAGATGTGGTCAATATACACAACGGACAAGCAAGATCCTTTGATACAACACAGTGTCAACCAACGAAATCGCATTCGACGGATAAACCTTGGAAGATGTAGAAACTTTTGTATACCTGGGTATCATAACTGATAAAAAAGATGCATCTGATGCAGATGTGAAGACAGATTGACAAACCAAGGGCATTGTTTCTAAAATTGGAGAACATTTAGATCTTTGTTATTCAACTCCAAAGTAACAATTTTCATTGTAGACGTCGAAATCGTTAGGTTGTATGAAGTAGAAACTTGTAGAACCACAAGATACAAGTGTTTATTAACGTTTGTTTACTCAAGATACTTCGCATCGTTTGGTCAGATAGGTACAGCCAACAAAAGTCTACTATGAGAGAGAAAAGCAGATTCCAGCTGAGGAAGAAATTACGAGAAAACGCTGGATTTGGACAGGACACATTGCGAAAAGCATCCATTTGCATCACGATGCCAGCTCTCACTTAGGACTCTCAAAGCTGAAGGAAAAGAGGTGTACCACGAGGAACACATCGAGCGGAAATTGAAAAACAGACAAGAAAATAATGAATAGCAATCGGTTAGAACTGGAAAGAAAGGCTCAGGACAGAGCCAGTTGGAGAATGCTGCTTGGCGGCCTTAGCTCGAAAAATGGTAACATGTAATAAGTATCTTCAAACATCCATTTGCAAAACAAATCGATTATTGACTATCTCTCTTACATATCTTCTTGTCTCCAAACTACACTGATCATGGCATGCATTTCTATCTGGTAACCACTTCTAGACACTTTGATTAGCATTCACTACATCTTCAATGGTAACAGAATTTCCGCATTCCTTCATTGAATTGTTGAAGGAGGTAGGTGGAGAGTTATAAAAGCGAAAGGATATATTTCTGGTTCTTCTGAGCGTTTGTTTTTCCTCAGTGTATATTGACTAGTGCTTTTTCAAGGAGAGCTACCAGAACCATCATCTAGAAGATACAAGTGCTTACTTACATTTATCCGCGCAAACAACTTCGAGTCCGTTGGCCAGACACCATCAGCAACAATCTACTATGTGAGGAGACAAACCAAATTCAAGCGAGGGGAGAAATCAGGAAGAATCGGTGGAAGTAGATAGAAATCACACTGAGGACAGCACCCAGCTGCGTCACAAGATAAGCTGTCACTTGGAACCCTCAAGATCAAAGGAAAAAAGGAAGGCTAAGGAACACATTACTTTGAGAAATGGAGACAGACATGATAAGAACGAACAAAATTGAACAGTATTGGAAAGTAAGTTCCAGAGTACTTACATACCTACTCTTGTTATCCCTCATAGAGCATCGATCGCTAACCATCAGTTTTCTGGTGGATGTTCTCTTCGCGAATTGGATTTATCAGGATGGGGTCTCCAACCTGATCCCCAACCTTCTTCGTTTATTCGGGCTTGGAACTGGCAGTACTCCCAGAAAGTCTTTAGGTGGAGTTACAAACACTTTCGTAAACTATTTTCTCCATTCTTATAGATGTTCGTCAAGAATACATTGAAAAATTATTCGGTACATCTATAAGATGTGGTTTACTTGCATTATGCCCATAGGTTCGTCAAATTAACGATCGATTCAATGATTATATCCTGTTCATGCATTGATAATAATAATGTTGAATTTCAAAATATAATGGAGATGCAACGAATTGATTTATTGAATGAAGTGAGTTTGTTGTTGTTGTTGTCATTGTTCACATAATCCTAATCCTCAGGATTCTACATCATCTTTGTGTTTCTCTTTTTAAGTTTATTTGATTAGATTATACTTTCTGAATAATATCTTCGAACCCTAACCATAACCCATCATAGGCTTTGAATCGACAATCGTGTATCTCTCTGTACTAATGTGGTATAGCAACTTCAACTGATTTACTTACGTACGATAATCCATGTCGTAACTGACAAACTGACAATGTAATTCAATTTTTATTTGTTTTTAAAAAATAGATGTTGTTTTACGCTTTACTGGTACACTAATGCTAAATGTTCATCTTACTAAATAGACTGAAATGCACAAATTAAGGAATGAATTGTGTTAAACACCCTGAATCTACTGGATATTCGTTGATTGCCGAGCTATGTTTTGTGGTGTAGGAGTAGGTTGGAAGAAAGCTAGGGGCGACCAAGCCATAATATGATACAAATCCATGAAGTCACTGACAAGTGGATTATTCCATGTTAGTAGCTGCAGACTACCGGATTGGAGTCCTCGAGACCAGAGTAACCGATGGTTGGAGACTTTGGATGGCATGGTTCGAAATCGTATGCAGTGGCTCTAATCTTTTTAATCCCTCATCACCTATATCTTTCTCTTTTTAAATTTACCTCACTGAATTATAATATCACCGAACCCTTATCTTCATCACCGCTACTACTGCTACTACTTCTACCACTATTGCGTCTCTGTGCTAATTTGGTAAGGTAACTTGAACTTGTGTACGTAGGTACGTACGTACGTACGTACGAAGTTCTTCATTGTTGCTGAATGACTGACTGATATGGTACCATCTTGGACTGTGAGAGATTGTGTAACTCGGATTCAACTGCCAGTTCCATCAAGATTTCACATACATATTATTCATGAGTAACAACTAGCACGTTATTTTTATTGTCAGTTAAAAGTGTATTCGCAGTTCAGGTCTCGTAATCTTTAATTTTTTAATTAATTAATTGATAAATTTTTTTTTGTGAAGCACCTTCAATCATGGTGCGTAGTAAAGTCTACCTTCCCTCTTAAAATGCTCTCATATCACCAGGTGTCACTGTCAGGGAAGTACTACTTACTACATTCTTGTGGCTAGGGTATTATTTACAAAGGATAATGTCCGGGTAGGCGGGTACAGATGATCCACCTACAGGAGTGGGTCCTAGGATCCTGATTAAAAAAATTGCCTATGCACCTATTGTTCGTCAGTGGCTACCAAGAGAATGCATCTCCAGACGTTGCTCTAATGCCTTGTAGATTAAACCTGTATATCGAGTGCTCATGTAATAGCTCTTTGAGAAGGTCACTTGTTTTAGTTAAAGTACTCGGACAGTATTTTATCCCACACACTGATACAATGAGTTATGTGGCGTATATATATATATATATATATATATATATATATATATATATATATATATATATATATATATAGGTTCCTTTTTTCACCGATATTCATGTATTGATATAGCGTAGAAAGTGTATTCACCCAGCCAGCACACAATTAATCCAAGCATTCGAATTGCGTTTATTTTGTACTCTATAGAGACGTCTTTGGGACAGTCACAAAAATAGCACACTTGACTGACACAGTAACTAATCACAACCAAAGAGTTTACTGGTGGGAAATGTGATCTCAAGGTCAATTGATATCGGTCCATGAAATAAATTTGGTGATCTAACATTCCCAAACACTTAGTATTATGTAAATTGTATAATTTTATATATTTTCACATATTCATTTATCTATGTTTATAGTTTTCTAGGATAATTGCAGTGCTTACTGAACGTGCCGATGTAATTTGGCCTAATAATTGTTATTGTAAACCTCAGGTAAATACTTACTTACTTACTTACGCCTGTTACCCCCAATGGAGCATAAGCCGCTCACCAGTTTTCTCCAACCAACTCTGTCCTGGGCTTCCCTCTCCAGTTCTGTCCAATGTTTGTTCATTCCTCTCATATCTTTCTCTATTTCTCGGCGTAGTGTGTTTTTTGGCCTTCCTCTTTTCCTTTTGCCTTGAGGGTTCCATGTGAGGGCTTGTCTCGTGACGCAGTCGGGTGCTTTTCGTAGTGTATGTCCTATCCACTTCCACCGCTTCTTCCTGATTTCCTCCTCCACTGGAATCTGACTTGTTCTCTCCCACAGTTCGTTGTTGCTGATGGTGTCTGGCCAACGAATACGAAGTATTTTGCGTAGACAACTGTTAATAAACACTTGTATCTTCTGAATGATGGCTTTGGTAGTTCTCCATGTTTCCGCTCCATACAGTAGAACTGTCTTGACATTTGTATTGAAAATCCTGATTTTGGTTTTGATTGAAAGTTGTTTGGAGTTCCAGATATTTTTCAACTGTAGAAATGCAGCCCTTGCTTTGCCGATCCGCGCCCTCACATCTTCTTCGGATCCACCTTTCTCGTTGATGACGCTGCCAAGATATGTAAAGGTGTAAACGTCCTCCAAGGTATCTCCATCAAGCGTGATTCGGTTGGTGCATGTTGTGTTGCATCGGAGAATTTTGCTTTTTCCTTTATGTATGTTGAGACATACTGCTGCAGAGGCTGCTGCTACACTGGTCGTCTTCTCTTGCATTTGTTGTTGAGTGTGCGATAGAAGAGCTAGGTCATCTGCGAAGTCCAGATCGTCCAGCTGCGTCCTAACTGTCCAGTTGATACCGTGCTTCCCTCCAGATGTTGACGTCTTCATAATCCAGTCGATGACCAGGAGAAAGAGAAAGGGTGAGAGTAAGCAACCTTGCCTGACACCGGTCTTCACCTCAAAAGAGTCTGTCAGCTGACCTCCGTGCACGATTTTGCAGTTGAATCCATCATAAGAATTCCGTATGATGTTGACTATTTTCTCAGGCACACCGTAGTGTCGAAGAAGCCTCCACAGTGTTTTCCTGTCCACGCTATCAAATGCTTTCTCGTAGTCGATGAAGTTGATGTAGAGTGGTGAGTTCCATTCAATTGATTGTTCCACAATGATCCGTAATGTAGCAATTTGGTCAGTACATGATCGATCCTTACGAAATCCGGCCTGTTGATCTCGAAGTTGGGCGTCTACGAAGTCCTTCATTCTGTTTAACAATACTCTGTTGAAGACTTTGCCTGGTATTGAAAGAAGAGTGATGCCTCTGTAGTTCTCACACTTGCTGAGATCGCCTTTCTTTGGTATTTTGATGAGGTATCCTTCTTTCCAATCTGATGGTACTTGTTCCTCATCCCAAATCTTCTTGAAGAGGATGTGAAATATTTTCGCAGTTGCTTCCTACATCTGCTTTCATTGCCTCTGCTGGAATGTTGTCTGGTCCTGCTGCTTTGCCGTTCTTGATTTGTCTGATGGCCATACTGATCTCCTCAATCGTAGGTGCGCCAATATTAATTGGGAGGTCCATGGATGCTGCTTCGATGTTGGGTGTCTTCAGAGGAGCTGGTCGATTTAGGAGTTCCTTAAAGTGCTCTACCCACCTATTTCGCTGTTGTTCAGTGTTGCTGATTACTTTGCCTTCCTTGCTTTTCACTGGTCGTTCTGGTTTACGATAGTTCCCGGCGAGCTTCTTTGTTGTTTCGTACAATTGTCTCATGTTTCCTTCTCTTGCAGCCTTTTCCGCCGTCATTGTTAGATCTTCCACATATTTTCGTTTGTCAGCTCTGATGCTCTTCTTCACTTCCCTGTTTGCTTCTGTATACTCGGCTTGCGCCTTAACTTTCTCTGCTCTTGTTCGGCTGACATTCACTGCTGCCTTCTTGTTCCTCCTTTCTTGAATTTTTTCAAGAGTACCAACAGAGATCCATTCTTTGTGATGGTGCTTCTTGCGACCAAGGACCTCCTGACATGTTGAAGTGATTGCCTCCTTAATCCCTTTCCAATTGTTCTCCAATGTTGCTTCCTCTCCATTGAGTAGATCCTGAAAGGCCTGGAACCTATTGGTGTGGGCTATCTTGAATTCGTTGAGTTTTACGGTATCCCGAAGAAAGGCCGTATTAAACTTCTGTGATGTTGTCTGCCCCGTTGTCCAGTGCTTCTTTAGTTTCAATTTCATTTTGGCGATTAGCAAGTGGTGATCTGAAGCTATATCAGCTCCTCTCTTGGTTCTCACATCCTCCATGGTCCTTCTGAACTTTTTGTTGATACAGATATGGTCAATTTGGTTTTGAGTAGTGTGGTCCGGTGAAATCCATGTGGCTTTGTGAATGCGTTTGTGCGGGAATATTGTGCCACCGATGACCAGTTTGTTGAAGGCACATAGGATTGCAAATCTCTCACAGTCTTCGTTCCTTTCTCCCAGTCCATGTCGTCCCATGATGTCTTCATATCCAGTGTTGTCCATTCCAACCTTAGCATTTAGGTTTGCCACCACAGTCGTCAAATCCTTTGGTGAGCACCTGTCGACGATTGAATGCAGCTTTTCGTAGAATTGATCTTTAACGTCGTCATTGTAGTAATTGGTAGGTGCATAACATTTGATGACGTTCATTTTAGTGCCCTCTTTCTTTGTTTTGAAGGATGCTTTAATGATCCTGTGTCCATGAGATTCCCATCCTATTTGTGCCTTTTGTTCATGTTTGGACAGCATCAGTGCAACTCCTTGTGTATGTGAAGCGTTTTCCTCTTCATGACCAGAGTATAACAGCAGTTCCCCTGAAGTTAGTCTCAGTTGTCCTACTTGTTTCCAATGCGTTTCACTGATTCCAAGCACCTCGAGCTTGTATCGTTTCATTTCTGCCGCAACTTGAAATAGTCTTCCAGTCTCCCACAATGTACGAACGTTCCATGTACCTAAAATAATGGTTGCTCTGGTTGTCAGAAGAGGCATGGGCCCCGTGACTTCCGAGGGAACTCGGCTTTCATCACGAGACGTCATAATTCTTCTTCCAACTCCCAGGGCAGAGTTAAAATGGTTTGAATTATTTTTTCTGGTTAGCGTTTTTTTGGCAAGTGAGATTTCAACGGAATGGGGTCGCCAACCCCATGTCCAACCCTCCTCCTTTATCCGGGCTTGGGACCGGCAGTAGCCCCTAAGGTTCTACTGGCGGATTTCAGGTAAATATACCTCGTTTATTGTTGCTTAATGTTAAGTCTTTTGCTTAAAAAGGATTTTAAAATATCGAGAAATATTTGAAAATTTAATCGTTATATTCATTGTCGTTGAACATTTTAATACATAACTATTTAATAATTAGTAGAGTAGTAGTAGTAGTAGTAGTAGTAAAGTTTAGGTTTTGGCTAGCGATGAAATTTCACTTCTGTAATTCGTTTTATTTTGAACTCATCAGACGGATTTTGTTGTAGCCTAATATTGATATTCACTCTGAAGCATTAACTTAGTGCCTTTCACCTTACATCCCAATGTCTTATACATTGAGTTACTTGAATACAGGGTACGAAGTTAGATATCTAAGCGTTTATGTTTTCTTGTTAATATTATTGAGATAAACTTTATGAGTCTTTGTCGGAATCTTGGCATCTTCTACAGATTGCATCGATAATGACTTTAGCTACGAGTCTTCAGACAATCTCGAATCATCACTTGTAAATAAAGACAATATAGAACCAACCAGCTTAGGATGCACATACGTCGATTGAGACTGATTGAATGTCAGTCAGTCTCTTATGTCAGCAAAAGGTAAAAGATCCATATATATGTATATATATATATATATATATATATATATATATATATATACAAACTATGAACTTAGCAAGAGCACCATTAAAAATCTGGTTTGATTGTATGGCCGTTTCGTCCTTGTACGGGATTACTTAGCAGTGCGCATCCATTAGCCAGGCAATAGATGGGGATTATGCAATATCACTGATTGGTTGAAGTTCGATATTCACACCGTTGGATGCCGGCTCAGTAGTTAGGAGGTTATGCTTTCACGTATGAGATCGAATGTCCTGGGTTCGATTCTTGCTTGTGAGGATCATAGACACACATTGCTGATCAATTCGATACTAGTACGAAGTGTCTTTCCAGTGCTTCCAGGTCTCAAATTGTGGCTTTTCATAGTAGGAGCTTACATTTGAATGAACAAGTATGTCGTACGTTGATGTCGTGTTCTGCGTACACAATTAAAATGTTGTCTTTATGCTAATTGTATTCAAAGTTGATAAATATAAACCATTTCGGACATGTTTAAATGCAATGATAAGATTAATAGTATTTCATTTATAACATGTTTTCTTCCGATAACACAAATTACAAGAATAAAATCGTAATAAAACTAACTTATAGCATATATTTGTATGTCTAATAAAAATTTCAGGTTTATTCAACATTAGTTAATTTAACAGCTTATACAGATTGTTTACCGGATTATTTTTGTTTAATTGCAAATTTATCACGTTGGCTTCAATATTCAAATCGTATAAAAGTAATCAAGCATGACAATGATCAGTCAACTTATTCATGCAGTCGTAATTATACTACTACTAATACTGACAATAGTAGTAATAATAATTATAACAAAAATAGTAATAATATTAGTAATAATAATTTCACAATAACACCTGAACTCATTGAAGAATTGTATGATTTAGAATCTGGACTAGGAACTCCATCGAGTTCAAATACTTTCTAACATATTTATTAATATATATATATATATATATATATATATATATATATATATATATATAATTATTCTACCTCTACTATGATGGGATTTGAATTGATCTCTGTGTGCTAATGTTGTTGTATGTACGTACGAAGTTCTACGTTGCAGCTGACTGACTAACTGACTGTTGTATTGAACAAATATTGATCAATGAATGAGTGATTGATGTTAATTCGAGTGTAATTTCAATTTTTCGTTTTATAAAAATAATTTGAATTTATTTAATTTGAAATGTTCACTGAAAAGAGTTATGGGTAATTTATTTACTCCTGTATTAAAATTATCTGAAGTAAATATTACAGTTTTCTATGGATAGAAACATATGACTGAAACTGTTGAGTATCACACACATTTAAAGCATTTTGAAGTGGTTAAGATTTGTATGATGGTTTATAGGGCGGTTTATTAGCACGGTCTGATATTTTACTGAAGAACTTATGGTTTAAGGTATACTAGGTCTTAGCTTTAATTCATTATAACACATACTGAAGTTTGAGCAACCAAAAGGTACTACTAAACCTCGTATCTAAAGTAGGATTCAAAATGAACTTGAAAAACGTACATTTTGCATAATACTCTACTCTTAATTTACTCTGGTGTCACCTACTGAATGGTCTGAAGCTGTAAATAGGTAAAAATATCATCTAATTTATGCATGGAATTTGTCTGTATGCTTCACCCATCAATCTATAAATGAGGATTTATCTACATCTCTCTAAATCTAATTATTTCTGTGAAGTCTGATAATATTATCCAGCAGTCAGACTTGAATTAACTGACATAGGTTCAAACTTATGACATATTGATTACGCTGATCAATAAACCATGATTCCATACACAAGAAATGGATATTTTTAGCTTTGTAATGTTTAGTATACTCGTTAGTATTATGCGTGTATACTTGAAATAAGTTGTCTATGTTGCTGTTAACTTAATGAATCGTATATTTTTAAGTAAAGATTTTTATCATGACGAATACGTTCATTACATCAGCCATACGCATGCTAACATTTCTAATATCATTAAGTTAATGACAGAATAAAATCTCATTTTGGTGATTTATAACGGTAAGATTTGATGAGAATTAGTTGGAAAGAATTTCCCTCCTTCATATAATGTTTCTTTACCACTGAACATAATGGAAATTTGCGAAAAAAGTTTAATCGATTTAAGAAAAATGTATGAAATCTTTTACAGCTGCACGCATACGCACATTGCTAATATTCTACTAGTCAAAATTAATTAATCCGTATATATCTTAAAATGTTAAATGTGAGTGATTGTAAGCACACATATTTTGATTCAAGACCTGATCGATAATTTATTAAACTGCACAAACGTGACCTTGTTCATTACTCAATGATAAAACTATGTTATCTGTGACATTTGTTTATTTAACCAGTAAACCATACTACGACAATTAGATATGTAGAGTTTAGACATTCATTCAAAGACGATGTTTCTTTGTTTGTGTTGATATTATTCTACTTTGATCTCATTTTAGTAATATTAAAAAAATATGGAAAGAAATCGTATCGCATTGACATTTTACGAGATGGGTGTTGTAACATTCGGAAAATACCAATTAAAATCCGGTATCATCTCTCCAATCTATGTTGATTTACGAATTCTTATTTCTGCACCGAAATTTATGGTGAGTTTTGTTTTTATTTGCTGTGATCTACATCAGATTTTTTTTATCATTCAGAATAAATATTAAAGTGTTATTATTCATAAGATAGTTATTGTTACAGTTGGTAACATCCAAAACTAAATTGATCGGTCTCTTTTTGTGTATACGAACTTCGAAAACATGGGAAGTTCTTGGCGGATTAGTTTGTATTTTATGTGAGTGACAATCACGCATAGCGTCTGTGATTTAGATATTTGTATATTACAAATCCCTTTCTTGTTGTGGTCTCAACTATTCAGGTAGTTATTATCTGTTGTTAGAGTTAAGAATGATTGGTTTATGCTTACTCTATGTAGGTTTAAATGGGTGATCTCCAGGAGAGCATTTCTACAACCATGAAAGGATTACTGGTGACTATGGGCTTCGAATTTTTGCTTCATCCTATATCATAACCTTGAATATCATCACTCACGTAATCGGGCTACTATATGACTAGAATATTCACACTGATCGGTCGTTAAGTAGAAAATTATATGCTGCTTGTCAGTTCTTTAGTATTGATTGGTCGAACATGATCTAGTTATCCTAACATAAAATGCTCATATCCAAATCTTGTATATTTCTCAAGTCATTTAATTTTGTGTGATATTCAACTAGGGATGTGTAAGCGATCAGTATTTTAAGACTACTGTTTTACGCGCAACTCAACTCATAATCTTACATATATATGTTCATTGATATAAAGGACAAAGTTCACTACGTCCTAACCCTAACCCCCAACACCTCTAGCATATGCCCTCCTATGGTGTGGACAGCTAATGTACATGGTTTAATTGTCTTACATTGCTCTTTGCTTATTAACGATATAGCTGCCCCTGTATCAATCAAACACACTAACTCCTGTTCATTTATGTACACTGTGGCATAAATTGCCCCTCTATCTACTAGTGCAAGGACCTCCCGATTCCTAGGGTGGAAAGAAAACACCTTATTATGTTTAAAATATCTTCGTCGTCGTCTTCTTGGACAGTTTATCTTCCAATGTCCTGCGTCTCCACAAGCGTAACATTTATCGTTCCTTTTATGATTTACTCGTAATGCTGCTATCTCACGCTCTAACTCCTCAATCTTCTTCTCGAAAGTATTTATCTCCTGCTTTTAGCACCCGACCGGGGCTACTGTTCGTGTCATCAGCTAACGAGTGACCTTCGCCAGTTCACCGATGTCCGTAGGTTGTGCTGCATTTACTAATCTCAGCTGCTGGGACACAGCGGCAGGCACACTCTCAATAAATTGCGACGCCAACAATTGTGCCTCCGACTCCTCATCGATATTCGGCAACGCACGGCGCAGCAACCTTTTGAGTTCCACAGCGAGCACCAGCGGGTCACCATCAGCAGACAGCCTCGCCAACCGGAACTTCCGCAACGCCTCCTCCCTGTCCACCAGGCTGTCGAACTCGGTCATCAGCCGCTCAACGACCGCCTCCCATGGCGTCTTCCCGCCAGCACCGTCCAAGCCGTCATATACGGCCTTCGCCCTTCCTCTCAGCAGCGTCCCCAGCACCACCAGCTTCGCCTTTGGTTCCTTCACCCTCACCAGCTCCGCCACGGCCTCAAACTCCTTCAGGAAGCCCCGTACATCCCCGTCTTCAAACTCCTTCGGCCATGGAATCTTCATCCTTTGCGTAGGCAGCGACACCAAATGTAGTGAATGAGAACACAGGTGGAGCAACCGAATTGTATTTAACGAAAATTACAGAGTTACTCAGTAAAATTGGAAAACCATATCGTAAATCGTTCATTTGCAAAAGATCAGTTCATCCTATGGAACTGGACTGTTCCTGTTGCCAAACATCAATCCATTGTCACTCTTCATGCGTTTCATACAAATTCCATTGTTTTCTGACTCTTCCTTTCTTGATCTTCCCCCCATATGGTGCTACCAGACTTTACGTTGACACTCACGTTATATACTACTTATAAGTAGTTCGCACCACAGCACCACACTCGTCCCCCCTTTTAATAAGCTGTCGTTGCAGTCTTTCTGATCTCCGTAGAGCCGTCTTCTTCATCAGTGTTTGTGGCTCGCCCTCTTGGCGCACGTGGAACCACCTTTGAAATTCACTGGCATTCACGCGTTTCTGTTTGTTTCCTTTCTGGATCGTATACACTGCGCCGCGCCTCTCGGTGACGACGTACGGTCCCTCCCACTTCGAGATCAGCTTACCTGACCCTGGCCCTCTTCCTGTGGTATATTTCCGTTCTCTACACTTCATGTTGACCTGGTTTCCTTCTTTGCACTCTGTTGGTACTTGTTCCAAATCTTGTTGAAGAGAATGTTAAATATGTTTGCAGTTTCTAACATGTCTGCTCACGTGACAACTGCTCGAATGTTTCCTGGTCCCTCAACCTCACCGCACTTGACTTGTCTTATGGCCATGCTGATCTCTTCAATTCTTGGTGTGCCAACGTCCATTGAGAGACCAGTGGTTGCTGCTTCAAGTCCATGACGTCCCATGATGGCATGTCCATGCCAACCGTGACATTGAGGTCCACCTTTAGAATCTTCAAATCCATTGGTGAGCATCTGTCGACGATTGACTGCAGCCTTTTGCAAAATCGATCTTAGTCGTCGTCATAGTATTCCTTGGTATTTGCATAGCATTAGATGACGTTCATTGAAATGAACTCTTTCTTTGCTTTGAAGGCTGCTTAATTGGTCCTGTGTCCATGAGATTCCCATGCTTTCAGTGCCTATTGTTTGAATAGCGTCCGTGCATCTTCCTGTGTATGTGTATGTATATGTATTTCGTCTTCGTGATCAGAGTGTAACAGCAGTTCCCCTGACGCTAGTCTCAGTTGTCCTACCTGTGACCAATGCTTTTCGCTGATGCTGTTGTATCTTTTCATTTCTGCCGCAACTTGAAATAGTCTTTCAGTCTCTCAAAATGTTCGAACGTTCCATATACGTAAGACAATCGCTGCTCTGGTTGTCAGAAAGGCATCGGCCTCGTGAATCCCGAGGAAACTCGACTTTCCTCATGAGAGATCATAATTTTTCTAAGGGAGGACCTTACAACTCCCAGGGTATAGACAAATCGGTTTAAGTTATGTATGCATGCACAACTCTACAGAGGGGCTGCTGAACATTTTACGTCCAGATTATTAAATTAGTGAGTGGACCTTCAATACTACGAACATATTTCATTCGCTAATTAAAGATGAATAGAAGATTAGTTCAATGCTGATATAATTGATATTTACTTCATTTTTGCTTGCCAAAGAAATCCATGGCGCAATGGAGGTTTAAATACCAAACAGTTAATCAA